AAGCCACCGGAAGAGGCTGCTTTGGGGCCCAGAGCACCTGGCAGCGGGGAGCCCGCAGGTGAGATCTGGTACAACCCTATCCCCGAGGAAGACTCCAGACCCCTGGCACCAGAGCCCCTGGGACCACAACCAGGCTCAGCTGAGCCAGAGGGCCCAGCCTCACAAGGTGAGCACAAGCCTCATTCCTCCAGCTCCCTACGATGACCACAAGCCTCACCCCTATCCCAAGCCCAGGCTTCTGAACTCTGAGATCTGCTATTTCTACAGGCGCAGCCCCTGCGAGCCCCCCAACCAAAGCCTCCCGCACAAAGTCCCCTGGCCCAGCTCGGCGCCTCTCCATGAAGATGAAGAAGCTGCCTGACCTGCGGCGGCGACTGAGCCTGCGGGGCACCCGGGCTGGCCGAGAGCGTGAGCGGGCCGCCCCCGAGGGCTCCGTCATCAGTCGTTACCACCTGGACAGCAGTGTGGGGACCCCGGGACGGGCAGCAGGGGCTGGGGCCACAAGGGGCCCTCGGGCCGGTTACCTCAGTGATGGGGACTCACCGGAGCGCCCAGCAGGGCCCCCATCACCCACTGCCTTCCGGCCCTATGAGGTGGGCCCATCAGCCCGAGCACCCCCCGCCGCACTCTGGGGCCGCCTCAGCCTGCACTTGTATGGGCTGGGGGGTCTGCGGCCAACACCCGGGGCCAGCCCAAGAGACCTCTGCTGCCTACTGCAGGTGGATGGGGTGGCCCGGGCCCGAACGGGGCCACTGAGAGGGGGGCCAGACTTCCTGCGGCTGGATCACACCTTCCACCTGGAACTTGAGGCTGCCCGGCTACTGCGGGCCCTGGTGCTGGCGTGGGACCCTGGTGTCCGGCGGCACCGGCCCTGCGCCCAGGGCACTGTGCTGCTACCCACAGTCTTCCGAGGTAGGATACCTGGCTGCAAGGGAAGAGCGGTTGGCACAGGATTCAGCTCTGCCTTTCCCCCCAGAGTGTCCAGGGTGGGGGTGTGGCTCAGAGCAGGGGGCCAGGGCATAGGAGCCTGGCGGCCAGACCCCACAGATGCCCTTGTGTCTTCAGGGTGCCAGGCCCAGCAACTGGCCGTGCGCCTGGAGCCTCAGGGGCTGTTGTATGCCAAGCTGACCCTGTCAGAGCAGCAGGAAGCACCAGGCACAACTGAGCCCCGAGTCTTTGGGCTGCCCCTGCCACTGCTGGTGGAGCGAGAAAACCCCCCGGGCCAGGTGCCCCTCATCATCCAGAAGTGCGTTGGGCAGATCGAGCGCCGAGGGCTGCGGGTGAGCCCCCTGCCCCGTCCCAGCTGGCCCTCAGACCTACAGCCCAGGACACCCAGCATACAGAGGCCAGGCCTTCCACACGAATATACCCTGCCTGGGACACTCCTAGGTCCAATCCCAGCTTCGACAAGGGCAGGAGGCTTCTGTAGACCACAGCACCCAGCCCAGAACCCATGGGTCATCCATCCATTTAGTAATACATGGTCCCAGACCTACTGGAGCTCAGAATCTGATGGAAGAAAAGACATGAATCCAGTAACTCACAAGTGTAAAACTGGCTGGGACAAGACTGAGGCTGGGAGAGCTTGAAGCAGGACTTGATGCTGGTTGGAGTAGTCAGAAAGGGCTTCCCAGAGGAGGTGACAAGTGAGCTGAGAAGGAGGGTGGTGGCAGGACAAATGATCCAAGCAGAGGGTTTACGGGGCCAGGTTGTTCAGGCAGCCAGGTGGGGACCCCCATGATAGGTGTCAGAAGAGCAGGAAGGCATCTGGGGAAGCCACAGCCAGCCCCCCAACCCCTCAGCCCACTGCCACCCTCACCCAAACCTCCAACCCCACCCCACCCGGCCCCGATCAGTCTGTAGCACTGGCAAGAATATCTCTCTCTGTCCCCACCCCCAGGTGGTGGGGCTGTACCGTCTGTGTGGCTCGGCAGCCGTGAAGAAAGAGCTTCGGGATGCCTTTGAGCGGGACAGTGCAGCCGTCTGCCTCTCTGAGGACCTGTATCCTGATATCAATGTCATCACTGGTCAGCAAGCCCCTTCTGTCCCCTGCCTGCTCCCTGTTGAAACTTCACCTCAAGGGAGTCCCTGTGGTCCCTCTGGGACATCACCCTTTCTGTCTAGCTTTGTTTTCACTTTCCTGTGCCTGTCCTCCTCTTCCGCCTCCCAGCCCCAGCTGGCCCTTCCAGCCTCAGAAGCCAGGGGTGCCCTGACCAGAGTGGGCCCTGTGTCCACAGGCATCCTCAAGGATTATCTTCGGGAGTTGCCCACCCCACTCATCACCCAGCCCCTCTATCAGGTGGTGCTGGAGGCCATGGCCCAAGGACCCCCAAGCAGGGCACCTTCCAGCACTGAGGGCACCCGTGGGCTCCTCAACTGCCTGCCAGATGTGGAGAGGGTGAGTTGGGTCTGGTGGGAGAGGGCAGGACTGAATGAGCTGACATCGGGAGAGTGTTTCACCCTCACTGAGCCCATGGTGTACACTGTCACAAGCCTAGAAAGTAGGTGCTATTAGCATCCCCACTTCATAGCTATGGAAACCTAGGCCCAGAGCAGTTAAGTGAGTTGCCCAAGGTTGCACAGCCAGGAGATCACAAAAATGCAGGCTCTGAATACAGGTCTGTAAACCTACCACCAGGGAGGTTCTGGCTGTGGGATTCTGGAGAAGTCCTGACCCTCTGTGCCTCAATATCCTCATAGGGTATAAACCCTAAAACAGGATTAATGCTAGCCCTGCCTAACAGACAGTGGGGAGGGTTCAAATCCAAGCTCTGCCATTCCAAAGCTAGGATGCCTTTGTCTTCAGTCTCCCCTCCAGCAAAATAGATCATAATACTAATATCAAAGCCTGAGCTCAGCCATCAACCAGCTATGAAATCTCGAGTTTCCCCACTCTCAAGACTAAGGGCCGCCTTAGCCTCCCTTCAGGTTTGACAGGGGACCAGCTTCACCCGCTTCATGATTCCCAACCGTCTTCTCTCAGGCCACGCTGACGCTTCTGCTGGACCATCTGCGCCTCGTCTCCTCCTTCCACGCCCACAACCGCATGACCCCGCAGAACCTGGCCGTGTGCTTCGGTCCCGTGCTGCTGCCGGCGCGCCAGGCACCTGCCAGGCCCCGCATCCGCAGCTCTGGCCCCGGCCTAACCAACGCAGTGGACTTCAAGCGCCACATCGAGGTGCTGCACTACCTGCTGCAGGCCTGGCCAGGTGAGCCCGCCCCTGGCCCGCGCCGCCAATCCAGGCCAGGCCGCCGCAAGGATGCTTTCCGGGCGACCAATCAGAGTCCCGGATTTCAGACGTGCCACGCCCCTCTCGCCTGGCCCCTTGCGTAAACGGTACCTGGTAGCCTCAGCAACCCGTTCAGATTGAGCCAATCCATGCTTGACGCGGTCAGAGACCCTGCCTCTCAACCTGCCCATCAGAGGGCCGGTTGCCAAAGCAACCAGTTCTAGCTCGGCCAGTGAAATCCCGATGCGGTCGCAGGTGCCGTCTCCCGCCGGGCCAATCAGGGGCCCGGTTAGCTAGGCGGCCAATCACGAGCCCCGCTCTTCCCCCGCAGATCCCCGCGGGGCCCCGGAGCCTCCCGACCTCGCCCCATACCTGCGGCCCAAACGGCAGCCGCCGCTGCACTTGCCGCTCTCCGGCCCCGAAGTGGTGGCGCGGCCCCGCGGCCGGGGCGGCCCCGAGAGCCCCCCGAGTAACCGCTACGCGGGCGACTGGAGCGTGTGCGGACGGGACTTCCTGCCGTGCGGGCGGGACTTTCTGTCCGGGCCGGACTACGACCACGTGACGGGCAGCTACAGCGAGGACGAGGAGGTGGGCGAGCCGGCGGGCGCCGCGGACTTCGAAGACGACTTCGAGGCACCCTTCAACCCGCACCTGAACCTCAAAGACTTCGACGCCCTCATCCTGGACCTGGAGCGAGAGCTCTCCAAGCAGATCAACGTGTGCCTCTGAGCCGGGCGGGGCGGGACCTCGGTCAAGAAGGGCCGGACTCCTGGCAGCTGAGGCGGTGCCCCGGCGACGGAGGGGGACCAGGGCCGCCCAGGCCACCGTCCCGGTTGCTGGGGATTTGCCTAGTGACCAGCCCATTGCTGAGAATCATTCCTCGTTTCCAGTGCCCAGTGGTGGGGCACTGGTTGCGAAGGCTGGGGACTGGGGACTTTCGGGACCAGCTGTTGGGGACATCTTTTCTGAGTACCAAGGGCTTCTTCCCTTGCTGCCAAAAGGCACTTCTCCCGCTTGCTGGCCTGGCCTCTCTTGCCCCCTCCCCCTTGGCCAGGGAAACACCAGTTACTGTGAGCATCACCCCAGGATGGTGAGAGGACACTGCCCCCACTTCCTTCTCCCCTGCCCCTCCGCCCCCCCCCCCCCTCCGTCCTCTTGCCGCTCCCCACCAAATCAGCATTAGCTTTAAGCACCACACTCTGCTTCTCCCTCCCCTGGAGGGTCCAAGGACTATCATGAGGTGCTATCTGAGGCAGGGTGAGGGGAAAGCCCCTATCTTGGGCTCTGGCTGGATAAGGGGAGCCAAGGGTCTTTAGAAAAAGAGCTGGTTTCCCCACCCTCTCTTCCAAGGAAAACCCCATGATTGCCTCAAACCAGGAAATGGAGATAGCAGAGTCTGGCCTTTCCCCTCCCCGGTTCTTTCTCCACATCCCTGAAAAAACTGAGCACTTACAAGACCTCCCTTTCGGAGGGGCCCCACCTGAAATGTCAGGCTGGGGGCACTTTGGTACGGAACATATTTATTGCCTCCGTGCGTGTGTGTCTGTATGTGAGGACTAGTGTGCATGGACACGTCTGGAGCAGGCGTATGAGGCTCTTTCACGGACCTCTAAGGGCAAAAGAATTTGCAGTGGCCAGGCACCCTGAAATCCCCAATAATGGAGCCTCAGTGGGTCTGAGTTCCAGCGGGAGAGTAGGCCCCCTCCTGTCTCCCCCTTTCCCTCACTTCCATCTTTGTGGACAATAAATCAATATGCACAAGTTCTGGAATGAGTGCTGGGGCCACAAGGACCAGAGGTGGTTTATTCAGTGCGCATGAGAGGAAGGGAGAAAGGGTAGCTGTGCCCACAGAGGAAAAGGCCCAGGAGCTCTCTAGTGCTGCCAGTGAACCTCTCTGAGCTCTGACTCACACCTCCCCAACCCCAGCCCCACCCTGTCTTCAGGGAGGGTTGTAGAGTCACTGGACCTGATAGGCCAGCTCCAAGGCAGGTAAGGATGAGACTCTAAACCAGCTAGGCACAGTCCAGGGGTGGGAAGGCCAAGGGTACTAACCCACGAGGCCCTACACAGCAATGGAGCCATCTCGGAAGTCCGTCCTCCCAATAAGGATGTTGACCACAACCGGGTGGCCATCTCGGCACTGCTTCTGAGCATCATGAAGCACCTCGACCACCTGATCTTCTTTCTCCCGTGAGAGCAGCAAGCCCTGGGCGCCAAGTCCTATGGCTGCCTTGTGATAATCTAAAAGGGGAAGTCAAGTCAGATGGTGGCAGGGACCCAGGCCACCATGCAGTCAACCCAGGAGAGGAAAACATAAAACAGCTTCTCCCTCTCCACCCAACCGCAGCCTCTCACCAGTGTAAGCCAGGCCACAGGCCACATCGCTGCCCAGAGAGGGCACCTGCTCCCGAGAAATCTGGGTCCAGCCAGCATCATTCCCGATCAAAGCAATCACTGGGATCTGCAGAGAAAGGATGAGGCCAGGCCATAGCCTTCAGCTTTAAGGCTAACCAGAGGACAAAGGGACAGGACCTTTGCCAGACAGAAGCAGCTCCCTCCCTAGCCCTGCTCACCCCTCATGACCACTCCCAGAATCCCAAGCTCTGAGCTTCCTTCAGGGCAGCTCGGTCACCTTGTGCCTGACGAAGGTATCAAATTCAATGAGGCTATAGCCAAACGCTCCATCTCCAAACAGGCACCACACCTGAGCAGGGAACAAGGCTGGTTGAGTGGTTCACTGTTCACAAAACAGCGCACCGCCCCCAGCCTCCAGCACCCTCACTCACCTCGGCATCCGGCCGGCACAATTTGGCCCCAAGTGCAAATCCTGCACCAACGCCCAGAGTCCCAAAGGCCCCTAGGAAAACCAAGAGCAGGTGGGTGTAAAGGGGCCTGGACAATGCAAGATGTCCCAGGCAGAGGTCCCTCCTTACCAGGATCAAGCCAGCACAGGGGCCCACGGGGCTGCACCAGGTGGGCAGCAGTGCCCACAAAGTCCCCACCGTCGACCACCAAAATCGAGTTGTCAGGCAGAGTTTCTTCCACCAGCTGCAGTACCCGCACTGGGTTCAGGTGCTGGGCTACAGGCATCAACCCCTTCTCCCTGCCACGGAGCAATGCACGTCAGCAGGGCCAGCAACAAAGCCTTCCAGGAAACCACAACAATACCCCTGTTCCCGTGTCCACTCTACCAGGTCCCCACCGAAAGGCCTGCTCCTTCTGCCGGTCAGCTTGCCGAAGCTCCTCTGTCCAGTCTGAGGCCCACGTCTGGCCCTTAAGGCCCTCCACCAGCTTCAACACAAAGGAGGCCACGTCTCCTAGGGAAGGAAGAGGATACAGCTGCAGGGAAGTGGCCTCCTGCCCTTCCAGCATCAGAGGCCCAGTGACAGCAGGAATCCAATGGCAACATTCCAGAAAGAGACAAGGAGGCAGACTGAGAATGTTCTAGGGCAAAACACATCCCTCCAAACACCTCCATGAGCCAAGCATGTCTCTCCGACCCAGACATGCAGCATGCTTGTGAACTGACTGAGAAATGGGCCAGTGATGTACTTTTCATGTTGGTCTTAGAAATGATCCCATGTAAGCGCAGAGAAGCAGAATTTGTCATCCCTGTCTGTGCCTGCTCCAGGCCTCATCCTTTCTGTCCTGGCCTGGTTGAACGGGCCCCTGGCCTCCACCTGCCCTCTCTAACTCACTGCCCACCAGCTACTACAGTGGACCTTCCCGAACATGAATGTAGCAATGCCACTTCTCTGCTTGATCCAAGAGGTCCACGTAGTACCATCAATGTGTTTGGAATGATGGGCAAAGAAGAACCCATAAAGGCTATGGGAGCAGACTGAACAGGGATGGTATGGCAGGACAACAGAGGCCTTGGGGCCCAGGAGGGAGTTCTCTGTCCTCCAGGAAGCTGGCAGCATGGGAGGTTTTCCAACCAGGAGCATGATCACATGCACATTCCCAGGCCTTCCCTCTTATGCACGCCCCACCGTTTGTTCATCCAGAAGCACCCATCAGTCTGAGAGCCCGTGTCTCTGGCTGACTGGGTGCCCATATATGTGTTGGGGCAGAAAGGAGGGGGATCCCAGGAGCTCACCCTGCACAGCTTCCTGGGGCTTCCAGAACATGTCTGAGTTAAGCAACATCTCTTTCCGGTTACGGTTGACAATGATGATCTTGCTGCTGCGGCTAAGGACACGGCCATAAGACAGGCGGAAGTCACACACGGCTCCTGGAGTGGGGAACAGGGGCTCAGTGGCTGGACAGCCAGTATCCCACCACCTTACTTAATCCACCATAGCAGACTAAATGCAAAAGGGTCCCCATTCTTCCTTTCTCCCTGTACCAGTACCGCCTGCAGTTGACTTCGCAGCTCCCCACCCCTCGAATCTGGGCTGGCCTCGGGGACGTGCCCTGGCCAATAAAGTGTGGCAGGTGAAGGCAAGCGTTCCTGAGACCAAGCTTCAAGAATTGTGGCTTCTGCTGTCTCTCTCTTAAAAACCTCACTCTCCTATCCCTGCATGCTTCTCATCCTGCACCAAGTGAGCAAGCCCAGGCTGGCCCACTGGGTGGTGAGAAAGCTGGAGGAAAAGGCAGGGAAGAGCAAAAGAACTCAATTATCCCAGCGGAGGCCACGGCAGATTAATCCGTAGCCCGCCAAGGCCAAGTGCAGCAGCCTATGCAGCAGCCCCGCCCGATCAGCCCAGATGCCGTCCTGTCTCTCCAACTACAGACTCATCAGTGAGCCCCATCAAAACCTGGAAAACTACCACCTAACCTCTAGGTGGACCTTAAGTAATGATAAGTTCATTTTAAGTCGCTGAGTTTAGCCATGGTTACTACACAACAGCAAACTGATACAACTATTACGTGTTGGGCAGGAGTCCAAATACTTTATGTGAGAATGTACATGACATACAGGTTTATGCTACAGAAACCCTGTATAAATGCAAATGCTGAATATAAATACTGCAGGTACCCACTATCCAAGCATTCTCCTTTGCACGAAGCTGAGCCTATAACACAACTCCAACCTTGCCAGAGTTTACCGGGACTTGAAGTACACAGTTGTCCAAAGCCCTGAAAGCTGAAGGGGTGGGGCCCAAGATAAGACGGTAGGTGATTAGTAGGTTAGTGATTAGTAGGGCTGGGTGCCAGTAAGTACCTGACTAGGAGGGGCAGGGTCACAGAGGTGGGGGCAGTGGGCAGGGGGGCCTGGAGGGAGGGGAAGGGAAGAGGGCAGAGGAGGCCGAGGCCCACCTGCCAGAAGGACAACATCTGCTTTCTTCAGGGCAGCACTACGGTTCTGCCGGATGTGGAGGGGGTGGTTGCAGCCCAGCAGTCCTCGTGCCATCCCTCCCAGGAAGCAAGGGATGCCAAGGGTCTCCACAGCAGCCCTGGGGATCCGGACAAAACAGAGGTGAGTGTAATGTCAAGGGTGTGCCCCACCCCACAAGGCATCAGGGAACCAGGGACCAGGTATATGATAGGAAGGGCAGGGCTGAGCTTTCTCACCGAAGTCTATCAGCAGGTATCGGGGGCAGCAGAGCCTGGCTTCCCAGTACAATAAGGGGCCTTTTGGCTCGGCTCAAGATTTCCATACAGCGCTGAACCTGGGATAAGAGATGGGGCTCAAAGAGCCAACCGTGTGAGTCACCATCAGCCCCCAAGATCAAGGCCCCAATACTGACTCAAAGAGAGACCATCCTGCAGGTGGGGTCCTCAGCCAGGGAAGAGAGGCGATTCACCTGCTGGGGGGATGCCTGGGGAATGTCCAGAGGCAGAGGGCCCTCAGGCCGAGGCTCCCAAGCTCCTGCAAAGAGGTTGGCCAGGTGATTCTCTAAGTACCTGCAAAGGTGAGAGCAAGAGCTGGTTACCAGAGTCAGTGACCAGGGCTCCCAGAGCTAGAGGCGGCCAGGGTCTAGGAGGGAAGTGAGGCAGGCACAGGAGTGGACCAGCAACACCCCAGGAGAGGCACACGCCAGTGGCCGAGTCTCCAGCAAGCCTGCTTCCCTCAGAAGCTTCTGGTGACTACCCAGCCGGACACAGACCCTCAGAAACAAGTGACACAGGCATGGAGTACCACAATCAGGGCCACAAACAGCTGCGCGGACAGCCACATGCAGCTCCACCACTTCCTAGCTGTGTGACCAGACAAGTGACTTAACCTTTCTGAGCTTCCTCCTCTGTAAAACGTAAAAGGGAATCTCCTTCCTAAGGTTCACTACCTATCCATCCAAACTATAAAGCACTTTGTAAAACACTCAGTCAGTGAAGCTACTAATATCCCCAAGACTCAAGCCGCTTTCTCTGGCTTCTGACACCTCTGTATCCTTACTCGTTCAGTCGTAGGGCTCCGACCATCCATGTGGGCCTGTGCAGGGCCTCAAGACAGAGAGATACTACCTGCCCAGCTCTGACCTCCCTGAGGAAGACCCAGCCCAACCAAACACAAGACATGTGGGCATTGGCAGAAAGCACACAGAGCCTGATACTTCTCTTTCTCTTTCAAGGAGGAACGGAGGCTACAGAGAATGAGAAGAGGCCAAGGAAGGAACCAACGCAAAAAGAAAAGTCAAAGGAAGAGCCAGGGGCCAAGTGGGGGCAGCCTAGGAGAGAGGAGGAGAATGGAGGGGCGCCTGGGTGGCTCAACGGGTTAAGTGTCTGCCTTCAGCTCAGGTCATGATCCCAGGGTCCTACGATCGAGGCCTGCATGGGGCTCCCTGCTCAGCGGGGAGCCTGCTTCTCCCTCTCCCACCGCTGCTCACCCTGGTTATGCTCTCTGTCAAGTAAATAAAATCTTTAAAAAAAAATTTAGGGGCACCGGGGGTGCTCAGTCTTTAAGCATCTGCCTTTGGCTCAGGTCATAATCTCAGAGTCCTGGGATCGAGCCCCGCATCAGGCTCCTTGCTCGGCAAGAAGCCTGCTTCTCCCTCTTCCACTCTCCCTGCTTGTGTTCCCTCTCTCACTCGCTGTCAAATAAATAAACTTAAAAAAAGAAAAAAAATTTTAAGGGGCACCTGGGTGGCTCAGTGGGTTAAGCCTCTGCCTTTGGCTCAGGTCATGGTCTCGGGGTCCTGAGATCGAGTCCCACATCGGGCTCTCTGCTCGGGAAGGAGCCTGCTTCTCTCTCTCTCTCTCTCTCTCTGCCTGCCTCTCTGCCTACTTATGATCTCTATCAAATAAATAAATAAAATCTTTAAAAAAAAATTTTTTTTTAATTTAGAAAAGAAAAAAAGAATGGGGAGCCTGGGTGGCTCAGTGTGTTAAAGCCTCTGCCTTCGGCTCAGGTCACAATCCCAGGGTCCTGGGATGGAGCCCCGCATGGGGCTCTCTGCTCAGTGGGGAGCCTGCTTCCTCCTCTCTCTCTCTCTCTCTCTCTCTCTCTCTCTCTCTCTGCCTGCCTCTCTGCCTACTTGTGATCTCTGTCAAATAAATAAATAAAATCTAAAAAAAAAAAAAAAAAAAAGAAAAGAAAAAACGAAGTGAATGGGGGGAGAGGGAAGGGGAAGAGCCAGGGAACAAACAGGCTGCTGTCACAGCCACAGAATAAAACTGCTAAACTTGAGCCTATCGGTCAGGGTCACCAGACAGGGTCACCAGCCACTTCCTATGTGTTCAGGACCCCTGAATCCCCCTCTGTACCTGTGGTTCCATAACCATGTTGGAGAAAGGATGGGAGATACCTTGCCTCACACCTGACAGGGACACTGGATTCCCAACAGTAGCCTTATTTAAGACAGTAACAGTTAGTTATTCACTGCCGCATTTTACACTCTCAAAATGACCTTGTTTCATTCTCCACAGAATCTTAGTCTAGAGAGAAAAACAGGCAATGCTCTCCATTTCACAGATAAGGAAGGTGAAGTCAGGAAAGGTTAAATGATTATGCTGTCCACCTCAAACTTCACCCTCTGTTAACTGTATCTCAGTTAAACTGTGGAAAAAAAGAAAGGCTTAACCATTTGCTCAAGGTGAACACAGCTAGTTAGTGGTGGTCCTGGGATTTGGACCCCTCTCTCTGGACTCACTTCATTCATTACAGACAGCACATAGCTCTGTGACAAGGCCCTGAGGGATCCTCCAGGCTGAATCGTCGTGTGCCATGAGCAAGCTGGATGACTTCATGCCAGTCATTTGGCCCCCTTGGGTCCCAGTTACCCAACCTATGAAATGCGCATAATACCTTGCCATCTTGACTCAGGGTTGTTATAAAAGCCATATGCATGAAACCACTACTCCCTGAGCTGGCCCTCAAGGTGCTGTCTCTCCAGGGGTTAGTGGCCTGTCTGTCTTGTTCGCGCCTGTCCTGGTACCTGCTAAGTACGTGGCACTAAGTATGTGGTGGAAGGGGAACAGAAGGTGGAAGGGCAAACACAGGCAAAGGGGAGGGACAGAGGGGAAGGAGGACAATCGACTCTCTCCTGTGCAGTTTCAGCCAGGCCCATTTCAGTGGCTACCAAAAACCAACACCTTTCCCATTCCTCTGCCTGGGCTATGGTCCTACCTGGAACCCTTTTCTATCCTCTCAACTGAAAGAAGCCCCCCTCAAGCTTGTAGCTCTTCTAGAAAAACCTTTATGTGTCTCCCTTATCCTGGCCAGATGGAGGTCTAAGCACTCACATGTGATCCATCCACATGTCTCTGTATCCCACAGCCACCACCCAGATCCAGGCCACCATGCCTCTAGTCCCAAGGCCCACCACACCTCCTCCCTGGCTTCCCAGCTTCCACCCAACCCCACAGTCCATTTTCCTACTCAGGGTATCCTATGCCTCTGCTTAAGGCCCTGTAATGCTTCTCAATGGAACTCAAATTAAAAAAAAAAAAAAAAAAAAATCCAGGTCCTCCCAATGGCCCCTGCTGGCTGTTCCGAGCTCAGCCCCTGCCCCTCTTTGCTCACCTGCTGCTGTCACATAGGCTACCTTGCTTTCCTAACCCACCAAGTTTGCTCCTGCCTCAGGACTTTTGCATTTGTAGTCCCTCTACCTAGAATGCTCTTCCCATGGCTGCCCTTCCCCCACTCAATTGATATGCAAGCCCATGAATGAGTCAAAGGAGGGACAGATGCTGGCAGAAGTTACAAAAGGAGGGCAAGGGGCTGGAGAGAGCATGGTGGGAGTGGGGCTGCTCACCAGGCGACCACTCGACCCATGAAGCCCTTGGGCGGCTTGGCTGGCACCATCTCCTTCTGAACCATGTAGTAGGGGTACAGCACATCGATGGGCAGCTCCACAAACACTGGGCCTGCAGCGGGGCAGGGAGGATACTGAGCCTGCCATGCCTCCCTAGACCCAAGCCTTAGGGCCTGACCACTGCCCAGCACCCCCCACCTACCTGGGGTGCCTGACTGGGCAGCAGCTATCGCAGCCCTCAGAGTGGGCACAAGGTCTCGCACCCTCTGCACGGAAGCACAAAACTTGCACAGTGGCCTAAACAGGGACATCTGATCAATGGCCTGGAGTGCACCCCGGTTCTGGTGGAAACAGAGGTGTCCAGAGTCAACACATGAGCCCTTTGAGGCTCCCTTGGGGCCCCCACCGCCCACCAAGGACAAGGCACCTGCAGGAGCGTGCTGGCAGCCCCACCCAGAAGCAGGACTGGGGACTGAGCTATCTGGGCATTCTTCATTGCAGTCACCGTGTTGGTGAGGCCCGGGCCTGCTGTCACTGCAGCCACACCCACCGTCCCTGAAACACAGAATCCATTGCAGCTGTGCCCACCGGCCTGGCCACCTCTGAAAAAAACTCTGCCCCTCGAAGACCTTCCCCATCCCATTCTCCCCAGCCCTTAGTCCTTTCTGCTCTGCCCTCACCAGTCAGGCGGGCCACAGCATCGGCAGCGAAGACGGCTGTGACTTCGTGGCGTGTGTCCACCACACGGATGCCCATCTTCTCACAGGCCACCAGCAGTGGGGAAATGTGCCCACCGACCAGTGTGAAGAGGAACCGCACGCCATGGGCCCTCAGCACAGCTGCCACATTCTCCCCGCCATGCTGAATGCTTGCCTTGTCCACCTGGGCCCCGGAAAGAGAGTGCAAGATTATCAAGGACTGGCAAGGGCACTAGGACACATAGGGAGAAGGCAATCTCGCTCCTCCAGGAAGGAGGGCAGGACAGTCAGGGGAACTTGGATGTTGGTTAGGCACCTATAATACCATATGCCAGGCCCAGAGGAGGGCACGTTATCCTATCAGATCCTCTGGTGATTATATCCTTTTGCAGCTAGGAAGACCAAGACTTTCCTCAGCAATAGTCAAAGTCCCAGAGAACCCATGCTCTTAAGCGCTCTCTGTTACACTGCCTGTCTTGAGGGCAGTGAGGCAATCAGGGTGACAGGAGAGGGGAAAATGGATCCCAAGAACCCAAAGTAGTTTGGCCAGAGGCTATCTGCTGAGATTCCAAAACTGCCTGCCCTCCAGGGCCTGGCAGCCTGACTACTAATTCCAGCCTACTAGACTTCCTCCCACTCACAGGGCAAACCCAGTTGGCGGGCCCAGCTGGCCTGCTGCTAGCCACCAGGAGTGGCCTGCTGGCAGAGATCGTGCCTGAGGCTTCCCAGACCCAGCCTCCTCACAGCCCGGCGGCACAAGAGGCCTCTGCCTTAAACCTCCACAAATCCTCAAGACTAGCAGCCTTGCTCCTGTTGCTCCTGGTGAAGAAAGGAAGGATTGGGGAAGGAGTGCGGGGAAGGGGTAGATTCCTGAGGGGAGGAACCAAGAGTGAGGTCTGTGGGGTCAATTCTTCCCAAAAAGATCAACTATGGGAAGTTACCCCACAAAATGTCTTGAGCTTATTTCCTCTTGTGGAAAATGAGGGCAGAAACAAAAAACTATTCAGGGACGTGTTGAGAGGTACATGACAACTGTCACAGCCCCCTTGGGTGCCTGCCTTTGGCCCACTCTGACCGCACAGGATTCAGGGAGCAGTGCTCTGTGAAAAGGGCTCCGGGCCGCTGGGGAAGGAGTGGGCCGAGCGCTGGGCCAATGCGCAGATACTCCAGATTCTCTCTTGCTAGAGGCAAAGTCCAGGGCCTTGTCTGCAACCTGGCAATGGGGACAAGGAAGTGGATAAAATTTCCCGACCGAACCCCTAGATTAGTCAGGCTTCACTTTCTCCGCCTGCAAAATACGTGAGCTAGAGGGAGTGCCAGGCGCTCGTTCCTTCTTTGGCTGCCCCCAGCCCTCCTCTGATCTGTGCCCCCGCACCTTGTGCATCAACTGGTAGAAGAGCCCCAAGCGGTGCGCGGCGCCCAGCAGAGCGGCCACTAGCGTCCCGCAGGCCAAGAACAGGAATGAGGGGAAGAAGTTCCCGGCAGGGGCGGCGGCCGCGAGGGTCTCCATGACACCGCACCTGAAAGAGAAAGGACAAGGCCAGCAGCTGGACGCAGAGATCCTTTACGGAAGAAGGTACGCCCCTTCCCATACGAATGCCGGGCCTCACCTCCCCCACCCCCCGTTTCGGCGCGGCCACGCCCCTTACGCCGCTCATCTCTGGACGAGGCCACGCCCCTGGAGAACCAGGCCCCGCCTCTCGGAGAGGCCACGCCTCCTGCGGCGCCAGACCCTCCCTTTACGTCTCCTCCACCACCACCACCACTGAAACTAGACCACCACACGTCAATGCGGCCAGAACGACCTTAAGATAGTTTTTAACACTCACCGGCTTCTCAACGAATTGGTAGGGTGCCCCGCCTCTCTTTTACACCTGGATCTGAATCTCAGCCCTAAAGGTGAGCCCGCCCACCCCGCGTCCACGTCACCTAGGACGAGGCCACGCCCCCAAGCTCGCGAGTGAGCCCCTCTCCTGAAGCCAGATCTCTAACCACTGCGAGCTCCAGAACTCGACCCCACACCCCAGGCCGGGGGGGTCGAGGTCAGATCGCATCAGAAGGCTTTTCCTACCCCCGGGGCACTTTGGCCTTCACCTGCGGAAAATGGCGCTGACTGCGAAGGAATTCGGCGCCCTTCGTCTCACGTGACCCAGTAGCGCGGCCTGCGGGAGCTGGGCCCGGAGCTGTGGCCGCGCCCCTTTCTCTGACAAGGCTTGGCTGTGCCCTGTGGTCCGGCCCGGCGCGCGTGCGCAGAGCCGTAACCACGCCCTGGGACACAAGCACCGCCTATAAGGACTCTGGCCCTCCTGGCGGCGCGCGCACAGGCCCCGCCTCCCGCCTCTCATTGGCTCTCACTTCAAGCCTATCACTTTTCTTTACAAGAGGCCACGCCCCTTGGCATCTGGTCTAAGCCGAGGCCCTTGGAGCCGACTTTCCGCGGCCTTCATTGGCCCCACATTTCAGCCTGTAGTCCTCGGGCTTTCCGAGCCCGCCGGCTTTCCCACCAGCCGTGCCGAATGCCCCTTCAGATTAGCCGGACTTGGACGTCACGGGCCTCTCCCCAGAATCCACCACCACCCGGGCCCACGTCCCAAGCAAGCCCCGCTCCCAGCTCTGCACAGGCCCCGCTTCCCATCTTACGTAACCCTGCAAAGGCAGAGGCCCGCCCCCTCGCTCGTAGGCCGGCCTCTGTTGTTGGCCCCACCTTCTTTCCCGACTTTTGCGTTTCTCAGTTCAGAGTTCAGAGTGCAGGGGAGGAGAAGCTCGGTAGGCCCAGGGACCTGCTTCCAGCCGTCCGGCCTCTGGAAAATGATCCCCATCAGCAAAGGAGAAATAATTCTAGTACTAAGTACCCTACTACCTTCCAAAATAAATCTTCACATTTTAACGGTGGCTCCCATCCCTCGTCAACTTCTGGAATTTCCCTCTGAGTATTCCACCCCATTGTTTTATCTAATGTTGAATCTTCCTACTTTTCATTTCACCCATTTAAGAAAAGAAAACTCCGTTTGCCCCACATTTTCCACCTGTCACTGTCCCTTTGCACCTCTTTTTAGCGAAATTCCTCCAATGACTTGTCTTTACTTACTGTCTCATGAGCCCTTCTATTCCCTCTTGAACGCACTCCAAAGAGTCTCTTCCCGCCACTTTATGGAATCTGTTAGGAGTATTCAGACAGTCTCTAAAACCGGTTCCTCTCCCTTCTGTCTCTCATCTACCAGCTCAACCCCACTTTCCCTTTCTATAATTAACAGGATAAAACTTCCTAGAAAGGTCTTCTAGGTCCAATTAAATTCCCAAAGCCAATAATGAAATAGTGACCATTACTTTTCATTAAGCACTTATTACATATGAGGGGCTGTTCCATACACTCTTCACATCAACTCATGTAATCCTCACAATAGCCCTGTAAGGTAGTTTATATTATCCCCGTTTACAGATGAGGAAACGGGAGCACAGAGAGGTTAAGGAACTTGCTCAAGGTCACACAGCTTATAAGTGAAAGAGGCACAATGTGAACTCAAGCAATGCTGCTCTCAGTCTGGGAGAACAGGTACGGTGCTTCAACCACATGGCTTCCCCATGCCTATCACAGGATGTAACATTTGGGGCCCACCCAGACACCCTTCCACTTAACACTGGATTTTATTCTGAGTTGGAAAGGGGAGAAGATTTTGAACAGCCTAAGTCACACAAAACCTGCACACAATTATTCATACGGGCTTAATCTGTAACAGCCAAAAACTGGGAAAACCAAATGCCTCTTGTGAAAATCAGTAAAAGAAAACCGCATTTAAAATGGAGTTGGGGGATGCCTGGGTGGCTCAGTCGCTTAAGCGGCTGACTTTGGCTCAGGTCATGATCCCAGGATCTTGGGATCGAGTCCCACATCGAGCTCCTTGCTCAGCAGGGATTCTGCTTCTCTCTCCCTCTGCCTGCTACTCTGCCTGCTTGTGCTCTCTCTTTCTATGTCAAATAAATAAAATCTTTTAAAAATAAATAAAATAAAATGGAGTTGGGAGGCTAGAAGGGAAGCTCACATGCCCTACCACTCATCATCAACTGTAGACCTCAGGAAGAGACCTACCTCACAAGTCTGGAGAATAGATACTATTGTACTACTCCAGCAGGAGAAAGACAGGTTTTCCTCCTCCCCCAGCAACAGCCCAGCTAATGAGGGACTGTGACAGCTCAGCCAATGAAAAGTCACTATTCTTGGAACTCCCAGTTTACTCTAACGAGCTTTTGGTTTGCAACAGCTCCTTCCAAACCTTCCTTTTCCTTTATAAAGAACATACCTTGCCTGTGTTCCCCAGATTTGCATATACAGTTTTGCTGTAGCTTGTGTATCCTGAATTGTAATTTTCTGCTATCCCTGAATAAGCCCATTTTTGTTGATTAATAAATGATGGTTTTATCTTTAAGGTTAATGCCCTCGATAGGTGAATGGCTAAACAAGCGGTTGTCCCTTCTGATCATGGAACACTATTCAGCAATAGAAAGAAAAACTATTGAAACACACAACTTGGATGAATCTCAAAGTGTGCTCAGAGAACAGATTGTGGTTGCCAGAAGCCAGGGTGGGAGGAAAGAATGGGAGGGAAACTGATCAAAGTTACAGACATCCAGTTAAAAGATAAGTAAGTCCTGGGACTGTAATGGACAGCTTGGAAAACACAGTTAACAATAGTGTATTGTAGATTGGGAAGTTGCTAAGAGAGTAGGTCTTAAAAGTTCTTGTCATAAGAAAAAAATTGTAATGATGTGAAGTGTTGGATGTCAACTTATTGTAGTCACCATTTTGCAATATATATGTATATCAAACCTTTGGTTGTATACCTTAAAGTACAATGTTATATGTCAATTATACTTCAGTAAAACCGGTGGTAGGGGAGGCAAGAAAGGTCAGAACTACAAACATCATGAAACATAATGAAATGAAATGAAACATAAAACAATTTATGTTTCTTTCTAGTAAAGGTCTGTGAGATTGTATGTTGCATATCTTATTATTCCTAGACAGACTCTTGAGTTCTATTTGAATGTTCTAGCCCTCTACCTTTTGATGAAATCAATGATATTTTTGGTGAAATAGTTTTAAAGAATGAAGATTTATAAATTATACATTGGATTAATATATCAGATATCAGCATTCCTTATGCTGGTGTCACATAATCCTGACTATTTAAAATTATTTTAATCTCCGGAAACATTTACTATTCTGTGTTGAATGGAGTGCCATCTCTGTAATAGAGAAATAAGATATTATTAAAAAGGTTTATTTTAAATATCACTTATATTTTAATTTTAGAAAGACTATTAACTCTGTGGTCTCAGATTATCATTACAAATCAAATTGTGCTGAACATTAAAACGTGTGACAGAAATAGATTATCCTAAGCAAAGAAATTGTAAGTTTCAGGCATTTCAAAACTTTAAATGTTAGCCTGGGCAAATTATTTTTACTTGTTGAAAGATAAAAGCAAAAAGAACTTGCCTACTTTTAGAAAAAAATAAGTCAACAAATAAACCAAGTAAGTACATTTGATAAGTTTAAAGTTACCATTTTTTTTCTTTTTAGAGTATCTAATTCACTGTAGTGTAATTAAGACAGAATGAGACTTTGTGAAAATTTTTATTTTCACTTAGAGTTGAGAATATTGGTGACAGTGCCAATCTAAATCTAAGAGCAAAACAAGAAGAAACAGCCAACACTGTGTTAAGTTCTTAGAGACTACTGTTAATCTTAGGAAACAAACTAAGGATTGCTGGACCGGAAGGGAGTGGGTGGATGGGGTAATGGGGTGATGAGTGTTGGGGAGAGTATGTGTTGTAACGAACACTGAGTATTGTAGAAGACTGATGAATCACAGACCTGTACTCCTGAAACAAATAATACATTAGATGTTAATTTAAAAATATGTATATACTGGGGAAAAAAGAACAGGGGGAAAAAATGGGGTGGGGTGGTATTCTCTATCCACAAGCCATGCACACACCTAGAGAATGATGCTGAGTGAAAAAAGCCAGTCTTAAAAGGTTACATACTGTATGATTGCATTAGTATTATATTCTCCAAGTATAAAACCAGATCAGCGGTTGCTAGAGGATAGGGAAGGATATGATTATAAAGGGGGTAGGACTAGAGAGTTTTCTGAGGTGATGTTCTGTATCTGGGTTATAGTGGTGGTGGCATGTGTTAAAATTCATTGAATTGGACACTTTCTAAAAATCTGTTTTAATGTACGATATTTTTAAATTTGGGGCCCCTGGGTGGCTCAGTCAGTTGAGTGTCCAACTTTTGGTTTCGGCTCAGGTCATAATCTCGGGGTCAGAGACCCAGCCCCACATCGGGCTCCTCACTCAGCGTGGAGTCCGCTAGAGATTCTCACCTCCTGCCCCTCCCCCACAACTCTTTCTCTAAAAATAAAACTTTTTTTTAAATATAAGTGAATAACTGTTGGTGGGAATGCAATTTGGTGCAGCCACTTTGGAGAACAGTGTGGAGATTCCTTAAGAAATTAAAAATAGAGCTTCCCTATGACCCTGCAATTGCACTACTGGGTGTTTACCCCAAAGATACAGATGGAGTGAAAAGAAGGGCCATCTGTACCCCAATGTTTATAGCAGCAATGGCCACGGTCGCCAAACCGTGGAAAGAACCAAGATGCCCTTCAACGGACAAATGGATAAGGAAGATGTGGTCCATATACACTATGGAGTATTATGCCTCCATCAGAAAGAATGAATACCCAACTTTTGTAGGAACATGGACGAGACTGGAGGTGATTATACTGAGTGAAATAAGTCAAGCAGAGAGAGTCAATTATCATATGGTTTCACTTATTTGTGGAGCATAACAAATAACATGGAGGACGTAGGGAGATGGAGAGGAGAAGGGAGTTAAGGGAAACTGGAAGGGGAGGTGAACCATGAGAGACTATGGACTCTGAAAACAACCTGAGGGTTTTGAAGGGGCAGGGGGTGGGAGGTTGGGGGAGCCAGGTGGTGGGTATTAAGGAGGGCACGTATTGCATGGAGCACAGGGTGTGGTGCAAAAACAATGAATACTGTTACGCTGAAA